ATTTATGGGGACGGGGTTCATGCAAGAGACCACGTCCGATGGTAAACCTAGGAGGTACCCAAAAAGTCGACTTTTTTGGGTATCTGCTTTGGTGGTGAAGGGTTGGGTCTACTCCGCAGCACGGGGTTCATGCAAGAGATGACGTCCGATGGTCAATCTGGGACAAAAAACCGCGGTCCACCCACGCATGAACTTTTTTCTCGCAGGCGTTGTCTTTGGCGACTGCGTCGCGCGAGACGACGTGGTCCGGGGGGCGTCCAGGAGCAGCTATGCACGGATGGCATACGTTGGGCAGTGTGGCAGCGTAGCTGCCAGCGCGGCTGCGGATATTTTCTCAGGCCGCGGCTTCAAGGAATCACAGAGAAAAATTTCTTCCCCAACCATTATATAGGCCACCCAGTGCGTATTCTGCCAATTTGGGATGCATCCAATGCAGTTCTCCAAGCTTGCCGGGGTGTTGATGGGGTTGTCAATATCCAAAGTGTATCCGGCACTGAATAGGGCCGTGTACAGCACCTGGACGCTGTACCATCCAGTGTCAGAAATGCGCTCGCCTCGGTCCTCGTCGATTCCTTCCAGGGCGCGCAAATACGCGTCTGCGGCTGCTTGCATGGATTCCGTGGTGAATCGTGCTTCCTGCAGGGCATTGTTGAGGGCTGTCAGTCCACATTCACTATACACATACATACAGTCCATATTCGCGAACTCAAAACACATACATACCGACCTTCCTCCAATTCCCCCTCCCCTCCTCATCCGCAACCAAGATCGTGAAGGTGCGCACCTCCTTCCCGCCTCTCGGTTTCGCCACATTCTCGGCCCTTGGCACCCGTAGGATCTTCACCGCAATTGCATTGACACTTTTCCCATTTTCTTTTGCTTCTCCTAAAGTCACCAACTTCTCCGCAACTGCTACCGCTGCACCAACAGCTGGGTCCACCATGTCCTCGCGCTGTTTCTTGTGCTTTGGCGACGTAGCCGCTGTGGCTTCCTCGGGCACCAAATCCTCCTGTCGCTCTTCCCCGACTGACTCGGCAGGGGTAACCCCCGCCAACGCGAGTTCCGACTGCAGCACCGAGTAGTACAAATTTTTCTGCGCGCTCTCTCGGACATCCTTGGTGCGCAAGTACTCCGGAAGCTTCTGCATGTCCTGCTCTACCGCTCGCTGCAGCGCAACTCCGAGCTTGCCGGCCACTGCCTCCGTCGTTGCTGCCACCAACTGACGCTCCAACGAAGTCATAGCCTCCACCTCCGGTCGGAAACGAAATGGGGCCGCGTGTGCCAGCGTTGCCTCCACCAACTTTCGGGCTTCTTGTTTCGTCCACTCTGCCTTGGCGGATGCCGCGTCCAGGTGACTTTTTGCCACCTCTGGCAAACTCTGCCAAAACGACTCCCAAGCTGTTTTCACCACCTCCTGTAACTCCTCGGCCCTTTCCAAGGGCAAGCCGACGATGAAGTCCACGGGCAGCTGCAGCCACCCGTACCTTGCCCGGAGCTCGGCCGCCTTCTGTACTGCCTCCGCCCGTTTCTCTTCGCGGACCTGCTCGTCCATTTTCTCTGTCCGCAAAAAGCTCGGAATTCCTTCCATCTGCGTGCGCACCATGTCCTCCAATAGGGCCACCACCAGCTCGTCCAGCACGGGGTCCTCTTCCATGCTACTTCGCCCTACAGAAAATTCACTGGAAGCTACCACCAAGCTGACGTCCGAGCCACGCGTGCTGCAATGTGTGTCCACCGCGTGCACGCACAACCTGTGTCAACATTATCTGCCTTTTTGGCCTCCGTCCTTTTTTTCGCCCACACAGGTGTTTCCTTGCCGCTGCGCTGTCGCTGTCGCCGGACATCAACGAATCCCCCACAGACCCTCCCCAACGAAAAACAACCATTTACTGCGCCTAGCTGTCTGTTCTTACACTGCGACCCATTCCGCAGAAGCAACGCCCGCTGCGACGAGCGCGCTTCCAGCCTCCGTGGGCAGCGCCCTACTCCGCCACGCCGCGTAGAACGCAACGCGCCCGAGCAGGGCACTAACCGACCCCCTTGCGCGCCTCGTCCCGCTCCAGCAGCCGTCGGCCTCCGCCAGCCTCCCACATCGCTGCGTGCCGGCATCTTCCGCTCACGACAACTACACCGAACAGTTTTCCATGGACTGCACGGGGGAACATACATGGGCAACGCCCCCTTGGCTGACACAACTGAGCGAACACCATGGGCAGCGCCCTTCTCCCACGAAGCTTTGTCACAAAACCTGCCCCTGATGGTCACCAAGAGCATTCCTAAGAAAAATTACGGGCATTGGCCGGGGACACTGGCACAAAATAGGTTGGCAAAAGGTTAACCATTTGCCCTGCGCCGCGGCTCCTGCCGCCCAGCTTCCTTTTTTGTCTGGCTCAACCCTGCTGCCCTATAGACACGGCCCTCGACAGAGCATCTATCATTCCAGCTCCTCTAGTGTGCTGCTCCGTGGGAAGCACCCGCCTGGCCCCGCAGCTCCTGGACGACAAAGCGCCCCCAGGATTCCGACAGCAGCGAATGCCTCCGCCTGGGGGCGGGTCCGCCCCTAGCCCACTCCTGCAGCGGCCATGGGCAGCGCCCTAGACACTGCCACCTCCTCCACATTCCAGGCGACGATCCCGCTCCACTGCCAGCGTCCTGCTCCAGCGCGTCCTCAGCCCCACTTGCCGCTGCTGGCGGCTCATATATCCCATCGCCCGAGCTGATGTATATTTCATGGAGGCCACTCTCGCGGCTGAATTGCAGCAGATCTGGACACAGTGCAGCATCGTCTCCTCGGCCGCATCCTCCCAATCCGTGCTGCCTGTTGCGATCGCCTTCTGCACCAGACTGTGTCTAGTCCAGATATCAGCCCCCGTGCCGCGAAACATTTTCGCTCTATGAGCCACCTCCTCCGGCCCCTGCAGCAACCTCAGCGCCGCCTGCCTCCTGCAAGTCACGCCGTGGTCATCAATCACGACCCACTGCTGTCCCGCACACATCTCAGCCTTGTTCTCCTTCACAGCCACCACTTCGGCCCTCAGGCAAGTCTGCCGCACAGTCCCCTTCCCTCCGGCCATGCAACTAATGGGCAGCGCCCTGTCGCTCCACCCGCTTCGGATCTCCCGCGAATCCACTCTTCCAGCTCCGGTGTACCCGATCCTCTGTTGCCGCGCCTGTGCACCAGACCAATGCCCCTCATGCTGCCCTTGCCTCTTCCTGTCTACCTTGCCACCAAGCTCCGAGAACACGTAGATTGCCCCGCAAGAGCTCCTATTCCGCCCCGGCTGCAGCGCCGAGCCCTTCTGGCGAGACACGATGCTCCACAAAGCTTTGTCACAAAACATGCCCGTGGTGGTCACGAGCAACACCATCGTGGCCCTTGAATTGTACCCTATACCATGGGCAGCGCCCTGCGCCACCGCATCCACACTCCTCCAGGTCTGCCCGCCGGGGAGCACGAAGCCCTCGCCACCTGCCCTCCAGGACCGGATCCACGGAGTCCTCATGGTCCAGTCCCTTCCCGCGAGCTGCCCCTGGACCATCAGCAGCCATCGCAACCACACTTCTCCAGCCAAAAGTGCTGCCGGTAACTCCCAACTCACGCTCCGCCCGCGCTAGACCCGATCATCGCACCCCGGCGCTCGCATCCCCTAGCTTCACTCCATACTCCACTACACATCCCTTGCGCGCCTCGTCCAGCTCCGGCAGCCGTCGGCTTCCGCCAGCCTGCCAACGCACTGCGCGCCGGCGTTGTCCGCCCACGACCACTACACCGAGCAGTTTTCCGTGGCCTGCATAAGGGGACATACATGGGCAACGCCCTCGCTGGCTGAAGCAACCTAGCGAACACCATGGGCAGCGCCCTTCTCCCCCAGGAAACGCATAACACAGACACCGCCTGCCTCTCACCCGACTCCAGGGGTGCTCCAGGAAACCCTACCCTCCCCACATCCGGGTCCTTCCTCCCACCGTGAAACCACCCGCTTCCCCCCCCTTCCCCCCCCCCCCCCCCCCGGCCTACCGCACTGCAGACATTCCGCCACCCGCGCGTGCCACCCGCATGTACATGGCTACGGTCTCTTCCCTCGCTGGCGCGAGAACCTCGCCACCACCTGCCCAAGCTTCCGTTTGCGCTGCTCCGTCCTAGAACCAACACGCCACATGCCGCGGACACGGGCGCCTGACAAGCATGCGAAAATCTTCCCAGGGCAGATTACCACGGGCACTGGCTGGACCTCGTCCAGCGCAAATTCTACACAAAGCCCAGCCCCTTCCTGGGAAAATTCCTGAGCATTGGCCGGGATTAAAAATAAGTTTGTCAATTTTTAGAGCAGATCAGGGCTAAGGCTAACATAGAGCAAGGCTAGCGCTAAGGTTCTATCCCTTGGGGGTCGGCGGCTGCAGGCGGTAGCCTGGTAAATACAAAGAATGGATCCATGCGACGCATTCTACTGCTTTCAGATGCTTTCAGTATCCTCTGGAGACAACAAAGCCAGAGATGAATTTCCACGTCTTGACTGGAGAAGAGCATTTCCATCACCGTGGGCGCAGTCGTCTTGACCTGAGAAAACAGCTGCCCCCCTGCAACCGTTGTTTAAGCATGTTTTGTCAGTCAATTGGCTCCTATTGCGCTGCAAAAAACCATGGGTGCAAAGCTACTTGCAAGATTTTCTTTGAGGGTAAAAACACGTCCCCTTCTGAAGAGATGTCACAGATGTCATTTCACTGGTATCGGAAATGCACAGATGTTCAAACAGCTGTGCTGGCCTCTGGACAAGGCCAATCCTAAAGCAAGAGAGGCGATGCGAAGCATCTTGCCAAAGAGTTCGGTTTCGGTAAATGTGGGTGTTGAACAGGTTTGAGCCGATCTTGCAGAGAAAGGCATGATGCAGTTCGAGCTACTTAAAGGCCACATAGAACCAAGGCAGTTGCTTCAGCAAATTGTGCAGGTCCGACATTATTCTTGGCCGACTTTTGTGATATTTTGACCAACAATGCCAGGCCTCAGTTGCAACTCTTGCTGCACAAGCACCAGGTCGCCAGGATTTAGCACCTGCCAAGAAGGCCAAAGCATTGAAGGAAAAATAAAGAAAGCATGAAAGGTGGAGAACTGTGACAAAAGTGCTGCTTTCTGGCAGCCCAGGCATGTCCAGTCGCCAACATTCGGCCTGGTGGCTTTTGCCAACCACACCCATGGAACACATCCGAATCTATGGAGCTGCAAACTGCTTGGCCTAAACTGTGTTGAAAAGTTGAATGTCTAAACACCAGAATCCACATTCATATGGTCATATCGATATAATACACATATACATATTATATACGGTATCCATCAGAGTTTCTGGGTCTTCGGGTTGTTTCCACCCCCAGAACGCACGACTGGAGGCTCTGCATGAGCGCCGCACCGGCCCGGCTCTACAGCTTGCAGCTCTTGAAGGAAGCTCTTTCAAGACTCATTGATCTCCGCAAGGATAACTGTATTCATTGACAGGATGACTGTCATCGGACTCAACGCAAGCGATATGCGACTGTCAAGGAAGTGAAGTTGTAGGAATTTTTTGAAGTACGTGCCTTTCGAGCTTCTGGAGAATATGACTCTTTTTGGTTGACTGCTTGCTTTCCGTGCTTTCTACGGGGTTGCAGGGGCCTCGAAATTTCTGTGAGATATATAAGGTCGCCGAGATGTAAAGAATCACATTGCTGGATAACAGGTTCTCTCAAAAAGTCCAACTATCCATCTCGGGTGGCAAGGCTCTTCCTTCAGATGAGTCCGGAACTGGAGCTTCTGAACTTCGCAATCGGATTCGCGGATTCGGGGACAGCGAAGAACCCCCAGCGCGCTAGTTAAAACATGTTAAAGTGAAGAACCCCCAGCGCTAGTTAAAACATGTTAAAACCATGTGAATTTGTGAGCTCCTGCCGTCTTCTTTTTGACCTGTCTCCCCTGCCCCTGTCTCCAGGTTCTTAGACCGGCCGTAAAAAGATAGTTCTCCGAATCACTCAGGTGGCAATAGCGGAGTGTTGTCGCTTCCTCCACGTGGCTCGACACTGCCCCGTTGAAGGAGGCAAACGCCGACGGACATGAGTCCCACCTGAACGCGGCGGGTTGAAATGCTCCAAAGCTACCGGGTATGCCGTTCCCCTGTTTCCACCATACACCCTATGGATGGAAACGAAAAACATGACGACCTTCAGTTTCACTTCCAAGCCAATCCATTTCATTGCTTTCCTATCTTAAAATCCAGGCCCAACAAAATGGTGATCTGCACTAACACTCGCATAATCTACCTTCACAAAGAGGGAGCACTTGAGCCTGTGAGCGCGCGTGTGTGTATATACATATACATATACATATACATATACACATATACATATACATATACAAAAACATACATGTATATGGATATATATATATACAGTATACATATATATGTGTGTGCAAGTTGGTGATCACTTTTTCGGGAGATTGCATTGTATTGATTGAAAAGCGCTGGACGTTGTCAAGTTTGGGAGATATAGTGACAGGTCAAAGGTGATTCACTCCAGGATTGGTTGACAAGTCTGGACGTTAAATTGACACTAAAAGGTATCTTTGCCAAGTTGCGATGCCAATACCAGCCCCAGCAATTGGATAAAAGGCCTGCCATCGTGGAAGATAAGATTCTGTGGTTCATCAAGGAAGGCATTGTGTCTGTCTCAATCTTCCCACCTGCTGTCTTTCTGTTTTGACTCACCAAAAAGCATACCCGATTCCCTCATATTGCAGAATGTCAAATCAAAACATTGCCTGCTCTTGGAAGTAAAACAAACCCTATGCGGCCTATGCGTGACAATCAAACAAGCATCTCAAGAAGCATGTCTGAAATGCTTCTTTCATTGACCCAAATCCGAAAAAAAAATATTGCCAAACAAGCACACACATGGGGACAAAGTCGGACAAAGTCCTATTCAATGATACTCTATTCAACGATATTCAATGCCTCGCTATTCAAACACTCAAGACCCATGGCATGCTTCCATGGCGTGGTCAAGTTTCCACAAGGACTCTGCAGATTGGCATGGTCTACCAGCCTTGGCTGAGTCAGGCAATGATCTTTCCCCTGAAGGCGGCTCTCGTGGACACGGACACAGCAACACAGAAAGATCCCTCGCCAGGCGAATTCTCTTTAGCGCCGTCGACTCCGTTTCTACTCGTCACCAAAAGACTGGCAGCCGAATCGATTTAGACATAGCAATCGAGAATCGTGTGATTGGAAAAGAAATCTCACATGCTTCTCGTGGATGTTCCAAGGTGATTCTAGCGGTCAACCACCCATCTACACTTGTCCCACCAGCCTGCAGCCTCCTGAGTCCTGGCAAGAGTTCCCTGTCGAGTTATTTACTTACTTACTTGCTTGCTTGCTTACTTGCTTACTTACTTACTTGCTTACTTACTTGGAGTGGTCTAGCAAACTGGAATTTACTTGTGCATTATCGCAAAACACGCAGAGTGACTACACAGCGGAACAAATAAACTATCAAGTTGGTATCAAAGACTGAGGTGTTCAGGACGCGGCGAACTCATTCTAATCAATCTCAGTTTGCCTAACAGCGTAACAGCTTTTTAAGGATTCTTTTCAGGACTGGAATGCAAAAAATGAAATCAAATATGCTCCACTCCGAAAGTGAACCCGCACTCCTGATCCACTCCGCAGCCGTCTGGCAAAAGTTGGATTCATCAGGGCTCAAAAAACACTACGCCTATGGATGCACAAGCCGATCTTCTCATGAATAAGTGGCATGGGCTATCGGCTATCGAGTCCCCCACCTTGGCAGCTCGAGCAGCACTTTCTTCAAAACGCTTCCAAGAATGACAAACAACCTCTGGAAGTGTTTTCTCTGCAAATTAAGCAGGCACCGGCGGCACAGGGAAAAACAAGAGAAGATTCGTTGGCATTTTGTTTGTCTTCACATATCTCTGATCCCTTTCACTTCTCCCTCACAAGTTCTTCCCAGGCCTCATTGTTGGTGCTGGTCGTTTCCTGATAAGGGACAAAATAGATTGAAACGAATGTGGACTTTGCCACCATGTCCAGTGGCAACCAGCAACGGCACAATGCACGAGACAAAGCACCAAAGCCCAGTTTTTCTTCACCGGGTGGCCCCTCTGCCAGAGTGAACCAAACCCTATATTTGTAGTTGAGGGCACAAGCGCTAAGCTGAGTGGTGTAGAAGAACCAAAATTAATGTAGCAAAGGTTCTGTCATTAGCGTGCGATACCCGCGAACATTTCAACAAAAAAGGATGTTAAGGTGCCCTCGGTCAAAACGTGGGCCCTCGGTCCTTTCCGGGAACGGCCGTCGTCTGTGTCACTCGTTTCAAACAAGAATCTGTTCTGGTTGTCTGTGTGCTGGTTCTCGATGTCCACGTTCTGGAGGTCGATGTTCGAGTGGCTGTTGTTCTTGAGGTGGTTGTCATGGTCGTACGGGTTTGGGTCGTCGAGATGGTCGACCGCGTGGTGGTGACCCACAAGTAATTCCAGGATGGAATCGTGGAGGGGCCTCAGTCAACAAGTAGTGTCCAATCTACTACAACAAGAGCTCAATAAAATGAACCCCAGAAGAACTTGGCCCTTTTGTATTGTATTGAAATGTTTAGTGATTGAAACCAAGAACCAAACATATTCAGAATAGATGTGGCTTCTTCTTTTGGAACACCAGTGTGCAGACCGGTCACAAAAGAACTCCAAGGAATAGTACGAGTCAGGGGAGCATTGCAGAAGCCCCATCGCATCATCATAGCAGTAAGCATAGACTCCAGGACCTCAGTTAGCAGGCGGGTCAGCTAGCCTAAATGTCTTGAAGTCACCTCAGACTGCGTTGGTTTGTTTTGGTGAGGAAAAAACGTTCTCATTATGTAAAACTGTCAATGCTTCCTTGGATGTAAAGCTTCACGACTTCGTAAGTGCCAGGCAAAAGCGGTGGACCGCCTGGACATATTTTGTCCTGACATGTCAGAAACCTACTTGATCCTGCATAAATTGTTTAACAAACATGTTTTTCACATCTCTGGGCTGTGTTCAGATTGCCCATTGCGAAGTTCCGCGCTCTTTTCCACGGCTGCTGGGCGAACAATAAAAACACTCTTCTACAACAACTCCATGAATCTTCTGCGTAGGAAGGCAGCGTTTAACACGGGTTAAGTGAAGTGCCGCTGAAGTGCATTTCCATGCATTTCTCACAGCGTTCGAAGAAGTGCGCACAACTGGTAAAACGTGTCAGCGCCTTGCCACGGGTCCGGTGCGGCAGGCTTGCGGTGACACAGGAGGTGTCGGGCAGCAGTACGGAGCAGCCACGTCATCCGTGCGTGAGCGCCCTGGCCGGTTCGATGCTAGAAGACCTTTTGCATCCTCAATGAGTAGATAAAAGATTCGCTACATGCACATCTACGTATGTGCAGAACAGCATACATATAGAATCATATAGACAGTGAGAGTGTTGTACTGTGGCAGGTAAATGGTCTGTGTCTCCCTCCAAATGCACGCTCATGCACACGAGCAACTGACGAAAGTCCTGTTTTCCTAGGTGTACTTCCTTCTGTGTTCTTACTTTGGTTTCTTGTACTTAGCTTGAGGTCATGTCTTGTCTTAGTTCGTTGGTTAAGTTGTCTTGTTTGTTGGTCAGTTGGAACAACATTGTCATTGGAAATCCGCCCGCACCGAAGGTGCTGAGGCGTTTTATAGGGCATGCTTGCAATCCGTTAGTATCGTCAGTATACAATAGCTTTAGCTAGGGGGGGGGGCATTTTTGCTCTAGAATCCTGTGTTTTTTCACGTTTTTGGAACCGGCTTAAAGTGCTTTCGCGCTAATGTTGGGTATCTTGAAGGCTTTAGGGATGCAAGAAATGCAAGTTTCTGCTTTGCATCATCTGCATCATCTGGACATTTGGCTGAACAGGTTCCCCTAACGCGGCTCAACATAGCTTCCATATTGCGTAACCACTATCTAACGGACGTGTCTGCGAGATAGGGACTTGAACGTCCGGG